TGATTAATGCTACTGATTTTCAAATGGGCTGTAGAGATGCGAAGGATTCCTTGGTATTTGGCCAACAAAGGGATGCTGAAGGATGTTAGATGAGAGCTTCTTTAGCAGGTTTTGTTGTCTGCTAACATAGGCAACAAGCAGCCGTGGGTCATGGGTTTCTGTGGCTATCAGGACAGGTTCATGAAATAGTTCATGAATAAATATGGGACTAGAACAAATATGAGGAATTTGCACTCCTCTCTACTTCATTCTCTCCATCCAGCATGAAAGACCAAGGAAACTTTGAGTATATGAAGGATAAGCTGACAGTAGGCAAGGAAACCAAGGACTGGTTTGACAGGTGCACTCTGAATGCCTTCTGCTTTTTTTCCTTGCACAAATGAGATTCCATACCATCCACCTACTGTGTACATTTGATGGTTGTTTTCATATTTAATTGATTATGGGGGTTTTTTTGCTAGAAAAAATATTGTATTTAACAGTGAAGCCAAACTATTATTTGTGAGGAAAAAAATATCCTCTTGAGTTAAAAAATTTCAGGGCATTCTGTAACATAAAGAAATTCCCACTTGAGGTCTGGGAACTCTTCTGGAGTTTTAAACAGAATGATAAGCTAACTCTACCTACCTTTGACAAGAAAGCAAGAGGACTCCCATTGGGTGGGAGATTAACTGTTTCACTCTAACCATTTCAGTTGCAAAAATAAACAATGCTATCAATTTGTTTTTCCTTAAACCCTCCCTAGCTTTTCTCTTGGGAGTAAAAGAAACTCAACAATAAATTTTCTGATGGGAAAATGCCTCCTCCTTCGTAGATGGAGGAGTCCTTGCTTCAATAAGCTGTTCCTTTTCTAAAGCTCTTATGCAAAGATAAACCACATGGCCTAGGAAACAATTTCAGACACTTGGTTTTCAGTATGTCTTGATGGCTGTTGATAGTAATTTGTCATCTACAAAATCAAACAAACTTACTTAAAAAGAAATTCCCTTTAAAGAACATTTTTCAACAGATAAAATAATAAAGAAATAGAAGAGTAAACCAAGTAGAGAGTAAAGAATTGTAAGAGTTTTGCAAAATATAGAGGGTTGTTATTTACTTGATTTATATTGATTATAAAAATATTATCCCAACACAGGTTTAGCCATTTTTTAAAAAATCCAGACTTTCTGGAAATGTAGGTGGAGAGCTGAGTTCAGGACTGGTCATACCAGGATTTGGCAACATGAACCACCAGGGCTCCATGTGGGCTTTAAATCCCATTTGGGGATTCTTCAAAGCTACTATTCAATATAGTTGCTAAAACTAACTTAGTTTCTAGCCACTTTGAAGTGAGAAATGTTAAAACAAAATAAAGTAAGCCCTAAAAGAAATTTAGTCAGCATTAAAAAACAAAACAAAAAACCCTCCCCAAACTCAAAGGAAACTCATCTGAAAAATCTGACTCCACTCAAACTCTTGTCATTAAAAGTCTGCCTGCCCCTACTCCTAAATGTTCCTACTTTCAATCAAAAGTAAATTAGAATATTTTTAATTATTTCAGCTTGTTCATGTTTAATGATGTCTCTCAAACTACACAATGGTATGTAGTAAAAAAAGGTAAAACTAAAAGACAGAAAGCTTTACAATACTAATCTATTATTTGGTTATCCCTATATAAACACAGGATACTGTAGTTCTGTGATATCTCTTGCATAAGAAATGCTGGTTTGAGAAAGTAGTTAAGTTCTGCAAAACAAACCTTGTTCTTTCCTGAGTTTTAAGCCTATATGTCAATGGAGCAGGACTTTAGTGTAGTGGATTCATTTAAAACCTCATGCATTTACTTCACTAAATGACTGAGCCAAAATACTGTTGGTAATCTTAGTTGGTAAAGCTAGAAAATCTGACAAATCCCCTTGAAATCACAAGATCTGCTTTATTCTAAATTTGGTTAGCTTTTAGTTATCCTTTTTTATTATAAAGCTTTGTTTTGTAAAATAATAATACCCTAATAATGACTGAAGGCAAACAAAGCTTATCTCCCTAGCCAACAGCCAAGAGCTCAGAAGATTAAAAAGCAATGTGGATGGCCATGAATTCTAAAATATTCAGTGGGAATAGACTCACTCTGTCACACCATACTAAAGTTATTTTAAAAATCCTTCTCCCTTTATCTAAAAATAAATAGTTTATATTTGGTACAACAACGGTGATTTTTTTTTCTTGCCAATCACTGTATGATAAGCCTGATCTAACATTAATAGCTTGATAAATATACAAATATTTTTCCTAGCAGTTGATTACTTATCTAATTTCTTAAAAACCAGTATATCAATAAATTAATTAGACTGTCTTACAATCAGGTCCAAGGCTAGTAAAATTTATTCCTATGAGGAACTTTGTGGTTATTGATTACACTAGTGCGCCTGTGGCACTATTAATTTCAGGTTTTGTTTTGGGGCAGAAGAAAGACATAATTTAGTATTTGTCATGATAACCTTACCAAAATTTATACAATAACAACTGTAGCTACAGTAGACTATTTTGTGTTTTACTGGGTGCAGTTTATAAAATACAGTATTACAAAACTCTTTTGACAGGAGATTTTAGTGAGCTACAAAATGAATGCATGCCAGAAACAATGAACATTCTGGTGTGCTTTATTATCTTTTCCTGACTGTGAAAAAATTGCAGTTGATAATTACAGTTGGTACAGCTTTTATCTCTATTGAGAGATAAACTAGATAGATCTGTCATGCATATTGCTAATTGCAAATAGCAAGAACTGAGATAGAAGGAGTAGGGAATCCAGATTGAGGCAAAGACACGAGGGAAGTGATAGTTAAACCTTCATCTCTCTGTAGTCCCAGCTGAAATTACATGTCCATTGAATCTGCTATTCACAGTGGGAGCTTTTTACTTACATAGCATGAATAGGAAAGAGAATTAACTGTTTTAATCTGAATTTGGATTCTTGACACTGCAATGGGTATTTGATTTTAAAATAAAATAAGACATTTATTTTAAATCACATTTAATTTAGACCTTAAGAATCATTTGACATATGCTAGAAAGACTTAAAAGTATACTTTCTGCTCATAGTTTAGCGTCCAAAAATGTGGCTACCCACTCTGATTTCATTGAAACAAGTTTGGTTGAGTTTCCAAAACTTTCATCTGTTCAGAGGATATGAATATTTGTATGCATTGAATGTTTTGTATTATGTTATTACTCAAAAATATCTGTGCCTTTTAATCTCCATTTTTTTCCTTGCCCTTTATATAAATGTCTAATTCCATATTTATTTCAGGTTGATCTAGTTCCTAGAGATGCTGGAGACCATCGCCACTAATTTTAACATTTTACTCTAAATTTATAGGAAGAATATTGAATGATTTATCTTGAATGATGTATCTCCTACTGATACTTTCTTCCATTCCCAATGCACTCAGTTCTCTTTTAATGGGATAACAAATGGAAAATTAACCCTCCATAATTAAAATGTTGAATTCAAACTAGCCTATGTTTCAAGGTTTGCCTGGAAATTTTCCTTATGTATGTTTCAAAAATGCATTTTATTTCTTGCTAACTTCACCCTCTCTTTTACTTTCTCCCCACAAAACTCTCTTAACAGTTCCTCCAACTGTTGAGGAGTAAAAATCAGAAAGTTTTCAATCCACTGAGGTTTAGTTGGATTGCATATCCAACTACACGACCTTAATCAGAATTTAGCCTAGCTGTGAATTCTGCTTTCCTCTTAACATTTCTAACCTGGTTTTTCCGCCAGTGTTGGAACTAATTGCTTTTCCCATCCCATCCCCCCCTTTTTTTTCTTTAAAAAATCCTGGGAATTCAGGCTCACATTTCACCCATGACCTGTAGTTTCCTGTACTAAGAACATATCCTGTGCCACTTGGGTTTGGTTTCTTTGAAAATTGACCACAGCTGGAGAAACAGGGAAATCAGATTAGCACAAAATAGTAAACAGAAACCAGCATATGCACCATTTAATAGTATAAGAAAAAAGTGGGAAGATGATTTTAGAATGTGGATGTGTGAAAAAGAATTTTTGCAAGTCTTGCAAAAATGTCTGAAATACTTAGAAATGTACCTAAGTTTTTAATTTAAAAACAGAGCAAATTCCAGCTCAAGATTTATAAGTTTCCAATCTTTAGTTTAAGTCCTACCCTACACCAATTCATTTTTAATATTAAAGTGGATCTAATGGATAAATTAAATACATATAATAGTATATGGATGAAAGCTGACAGTTATTGTCTGTATAAAAGGAGAAACCTGAATTCAGTGGGCCTTAAAGCCATGTAAGCTATTGGTAAAGATTCACTTCTTCATAATCAAGAAAGTTCTTTTCTGCTCAATTCTCCTCTGTCTCCAGGACATTCCAAAGACAGCTGATTTATGTCAGTTATAGTTTAATTGACTCTGAGCCCAATACCACCAATGGCCATTCCTATCCACAGAATATAAAGAATGCTCCCTTTTAGGCTCTGAACAACCTTTTAGAATACAGCTGTGGGAACCATTTGTTTCCTGCTAGTGCTACTCTCTAATGAACTGCCCACAAATCAATGGTATAACACAGGGTTGGCAACCTTGGCTCTTTTATGACTCGTGGACTTCAATTGGCTGGCTCAGGAATTCTGGGAGTTGAAGTCCACGAGTCATAAAAGAGCCAAGGTTGCCTAACCCTGGTATAACACATAAAAAGACCAAAAGAAAATACAAAGGAAGGACTCCTTCACATTAGACAGAATTAATCTAACTCCAACTTGCGTTCACACAGGTAGCTCTTACATGAACACTTGATCCCTTTGCTTTTAATGGGATTACATGTTTGAGTAATGCCAACTTGTGTGCTTATATCGAAACACCTGATCCTAGCTGCTCTTCTACAGCCCCTGGCATTATCAGGGCAGTGATTCTAATGCCAATTCTGAACTGTTTCTGTCTGTCTAACATTCCTTTTTAATCCCCATCCTGCCTGCCCCTCCCTTATGTAGGGTTACTTTAGTGATCCTTGGAATATTTTTGACTTCCTCATCGTAATTGGCAGCATTATAGACGTCATTCTCAGTGAAACTAATGTGAGTATAACTCTACCCTCCTTAGGATGCCACCAAATCCTCCTTCTCTTCTTCTATACTTGTTATCTTCTCTTTTTTTCTGGTTTATGTTTTCTTCCCTCTAATCATGCTTTTATTGACCTTGCCGTCGTCCTTCTCCCAGGGGGGAAAAAAGGAGGAGGGTTGAAGACCTCCTTTCTTTTCACTGGTCACAACTGTGGCTGGTGAAGGCGCACAGAGATTGGGGTATGTGTGCTTTTTTCCCTCCCCAAAAGATGAAACAAAACCAAACCAGACATGTCTGAGTGTAACTTTCTAACTAACCAGGTTTTTATTGATACCCTCCATCATGTTACAGAGGTATGAGCAACCAGTACTTTAGAGTGGTAAGAGAGTTTTTACTATGCCCGCATAACCTCTTTCTTTCCTTATTTTTTTCTCTTCTCTCCCTCTTTCATGCTTTATTTATTTATTTATTTGTTTGTTTGTTTGTTTCTTTTGATTTTTCTTTGGGGGTTTTTATACCCTTTTTCCTTCTCTCTCCTGTTTGTTTTCTTCTTTCTCTTCTTTTTTCTTTTTTTTCTTTCTTTTTTTCTTTTTTTGGTTTCCCTGACACATGCAGCACTATTTCTGTGATGCATGGAATACATTTGACGCCTTGATTGTTGTGGGTAGCATTGTTGATATAGCAATCACCGAGGTGACCGTAAGTAGCTGGCGTCTGTCCATGAATGTGCCTGCTCTTAATATTCATTTGTCTTTTCTGGGTTTTTTAATCTCTTCTTTTTTTATTCTCTTCCCTTTTTTCTCCCTCCCTTTTTATTTAAAGTTTTTTTAAGGATTGCTTATTTTCTTCTGTTTTTGTTTATGCTTGTTTCTTTATGTTTTAGAACAACTTTGAGGATTTTCTGACTGTTGCATCATTTTCTTTCCCTCATAATTAGCTTGGCATGAATAAAAACTGTATAGTAGAAAAATTTATGAAAAGTTTGTGGAGTGAATGCACAATAAGCAAGTTTCTGTCCTAGGAAGTTGTAGAAATAGTCAAGACTGATTTTCCAAAACCATGTTAAATTTCCTAGGGCAATGAACTACTTGCCATTTCACAAAGAATTATAGGGCAACTCTTTCGAGGTGGAATAGTTGGAAACAGATATGGAGAAAAAAAATTTCCAAGACCTTTATTTCTCCAAGTTCTTTTCTTCAATCTTGAATCCACAAAACTTCACAACTAAGTTAACATTCTATAATAGTATGTTATACACTAAATGAAATTATATTATTTGTCTCTTAATTATTTATGAAAAAGAAACTTCATGAGAGGAGGAATTACTCTAAATTTTACAAAAATGATTAGAACCAGCTAAATTCCAGCTCAGAGAATATTTTGGCACTGCAAAAGTTATCTGTATGATTTGTTCACTATTTGGCATCTCTTCAATGTGGGTATCTATAGAGATCTTGACCAGCTGCAGCTATAGTGATGAAAAGGGATATCATTCATTATCATAAGTGGAGAGAATTATGTTTGGCAGAATCCATTATTTAATTATAACACCACCCCAATACTATTTACAATTTCAAAATATTCAATAAACTCTACTGAGCTAATTCCCATTCCTGATAAAATTCTAATTTGGAACTGAGATCAGATAAATTAATCACACATATGTTCCATTCTTCATAGGACAGCCACACTATTTAGTAGGAAAATATGTGAAATGTAACATTGACTGATTGTGCAGGTTTCTATAACCCACCCAAAACAACAGACTGTGGGCAAGTTACATGTTAAAATATTAATAAGCAATCATAAGAATAAATTAAATTATTTTAAAAAGTAGCAATGCTTTTAACAATACTAGTAATGAAACAAATAATAAATGGCCTCAGTGTGTACACCAGGAATCCTAACCTTTTAAGAACTTCTCAAAAACATGAGGGAAGGCGGTTTATGGATCTCTAGGAGTATTGAGTACATTTTCTAAACATTATACAGTACACTGCAGTACATTTAATTAAAGTTTGTTAAATATAGGACAGGAGAGATAGATTAAGTTCAGCAGTTATTTATAGAGCAGAAAAGTTGACTAGGGCTATTTTTCTTCTCAGTACCAAGTAGCTTTGAAGTGTTGCAGCTGACATTAATATTGGTTCCACTTCACCTCTAAAGAATACCCTTCTACTATACAGGCCCTTAAATTTTTGCATACCTGGCATGTTTGAAGTTTCACTTTTAATCTTTGCTTTGATTCTAACATTTCTTATTAAACTATTCATTTTGAATTTCTTCTAACTTTTTTGCATATCTGATGCACTGATAATTTGCAATCAATTAAAGATGGAGTTTGTTCTGAAATGTTTGAAATCATATTATACATATTCATATAGAATAAGAAACTGAATGGCCTTTGATATCAATTTGTACCTTCAAAAATAATCCTGCTCTATGGCAGTCCACCCAGCCACCCAACAAATAGACATTGTTTTTTGCAGATCAAATTGAAAAGTTTCCCTCTTCACTTACCAATTGCATCATTCCTTTGTCTTTCCTACCATGAAAGTTTTGCTTTGCTCCTGGTTTTTGAGCCTGAACATATCTGTCTTACGTGCCTGTATGCTGGCTTGCTCTGTACAAACTGGAATGGTGGGGTGGAGGGAAGAAGAAAAGGAACATTTCTGAATATACACAATATTAGTTTTTTACTTGATTCAAAATCAGATAGCATATGATAGTCTATAGCCTATATTAACTAAATAAATTAGTCTGTAGTAGATCTCTAAAAATTGTTGCAAAAGTAACACTTAGATTTGCATAAAATGAGCCTTTCTTGGCATTAATTATTTTGTCATGAAAGGTGATTAGATAGGAATACTGTGAAGTCTCATCTGCACAGACTTTGCCATGCAGAAACAATTTGACTGAAAAGCATTTAATCACCAGAAAAGCAGAAGGCAAGGGTAAAAAGGTCAGATGTACGTAATCAGTGGGTGTATGTCAGTGTGTGCGCACAAGTGTGTATATGTATGTATGTGCACGTGTGAATGAATTAAAGTGTTTTACAGTCAATATTAAATTTCTTTATAGTACAAGATAATATTTTTATAATTTTTAATAATTTTGAAAAAGATGTATCTTTGACATTTTATCTTTTAAAAACAGGGAATAAATAAATATGTGTTAATATTTCTTTTCTAAAATTCCCTTACATTTAATACATCAATTATAAATTTTAATAGGATATATGAGTTTATATATCACAATATATTACCTCAAATGATAGAGCAACATTTTTTTAAAAAAATCTTTAAAATAGTGTAACCTTCAGCCTATTTCAATATTCGGTTTTGGAATATTTAAGTACTGAAAATGATCTTTCAAATATATATTGAAAGATAATAGTTGTCAGAGTCTTTTAACTTAAAGCTTATATCCAATAACATTATTAAATTATTTTTTTCAAATAATTTCACTGTGATGACAGAAGAAATCTGGCAATTATTCTTCTTTATTCATGAATAGAGAACTTTTATGTCTAGTGAAACTGAATGGATCCAAACTCCATAAAATACTTATTTTGGATTTGGAGTTATTCAGGAAACAGTGATGTTCCATCTAATGTATTTTAAGAAATATTGCTGTAGGAAGATCACAAAAACTTGTGCAAATTTGAGTAAGTTAAAAGCAGTGCTTTGAGGAGTATAAAAAGGGAATATTTATGACTATCTGGTCCTGAAATAGTAGAAAGCATGTTCAGAAAAAAAAAAGGAGGGGAACCTACAGTTTATTGAATAAACCTCAACTCATCATAAAGCTTAAATTATTTATCTCATCTCAAATTTAGTTATTGAATCTTATATGGAAATCTAGCCATAGCCATTTCTTATTTTTGCCATATGTGCAGAACCATACTCAATTCTTAGAGTATAAAAATATGAAAACCAAGGAAGAAATGCAGCTTTCCATCTGTTCCTGATTCCATCTTTATACAACTTTCTGATTTCCCAGTGAGCTTCAAAATTACCAATAAAATTAAAATGAACAAAACAAGTAAAGACAAGTTATTATATCTTTCAGAACCTTCAACATGAAATCTAAACTAAAATATATCAGGACAGTTGTAAGAACTTTGAAGCACTGCAGATCAGAAACACACAAAATATAAAAACTGGTAATAAAGAATTATTGTACATTATTGGCAGTTTGCTACCAAGTGATCTAGCAAAAAGAAGATTTTGCGGAGACTGCTAATTAGGAAACAAATGAACAAAACAGAATTGCCCATAGCTCAAAGTTCCAAAAAATGGATAAAAAATCATGGACCTCCATGATAGAAAAATGGGAAACACGTGGAATAGATAATAATTTTCCAGTACTAGAAAGTGGCTTCTAAAACAAACATGCTCTCTTCTTCCTTAGAAGTAATAAGTTAATTCCTGAAATTATTCAGTTAACTTTTTAAAAAAAAAATTCTAGATAATTCAGAAATACCTTTTATATATCAGCCTTCCCCAACCTGTTGCTTCTAACCATTGGACTATAATTTCTAGCTGGTATGGTATGCAATCTGGATCATTTTTCTCCTGCACATAACATTTTCCAGTGTTATAATCTTTTTGTAACTGGAAGTATATTTGCCCACCCCCATCCCAACACATACACATATCCTTGACTGTGGTATAATCCATTGTTGGATTGGCAAGGCATGCTAATGAAGCCTTTAATACTCCATTCAATGTTGCATCTGGAGCAATGCTTTTTGGAAACATTTCTAAAAAAAAGTGTTCTTGGAAGATACGCACTTTTGTTACCCTTCAACAGCTGCACTGCACATCTTTCTCCAGGTAAAACTATGAATTAGTATTAATTCATTAATTATGCAACACAGGGTCAAAATTCATTTGTGTATTTTAGATTAAAATATACACAATGAATAATTCAAAAATAATCTTTTAGATTTGTATTACGTGAAATTACACCTTTCAGTATGGATTTCAACATGAATGTTTATCCAGATTTTTTTCAATTTGGATTAAACTGAATACAGTACAAAATAAATGTATAAACTTGCAAAACTGGGGAAAAAAGAATAAATATAAATTAATCAGTTTGTGGTATGCTGCTGCTTTGGGTAAAAATTAAGCATCATAAATATAGCATTGGGAAAAAGAAGTCTAGAAGAGATTTGCGAAACCCCGGAATTTTTCTCTATGAAACGGAATTTCCTAGTAATTTAAAAAAACTTGACAATATGTATTTGTGATGTACTGAGACGATTTCAGGCTGTAGCATAATTAGACTATAGAACAGATCGTGTACAGTACTGGTATATAGAAATGGTTCTGCAAATATGTTTTATCATTTCAATAGGGCTAGATTCTAATTTTGTGTGTGTTGTATGTTTGAAATGAGTCCATGTGTATTGTATATCTGTTTACTTCCTTTTTATTGTTTCCACTTTTGAGCATATTTCAAATAGTCTAAATCATTTAACAGTCACCTATTTGTCTGTATATCTGAATGTAGGTGTATCCCTTAGGGCTTGTGCACACATTAAATTTACTCCTTGTTAAACTGCTTTGCTTACCTTTAGGGAGCAGCACGCTAGCTCTAAGATGAGCTAGAGTTAATTCACTAGAGGTAAGTGAGATTTCATTGGGGAAACTAGTTTCCACAGGGCAAATGACATCTACTTTGGGTAGACAATGTGTGCACAAGCCTTAAAAATATAATTGAACTTGTATGTGGATGCCTTTGTAATTGTCTAGATGCCTAACATGCTTGGCATGTAATTCTCTTGCATTAGAGTGGATGTGCATGTACTGCATGTGCGTGTTTAGTGCATGAATATAAATTAAAGACACATGAAACTACTCTTTAACTACATTCATTTCAAATGAACTGTATTGTCACAAATTTCCACTGAAATCACTGCATTGTCACAAAAACAAAATCCAATATTAGTTGTGTGCCACTTTTTTAAGGTGTAGGTCTCTGAGTGTAGGGTAGTAATCACTATAGGATGTGTCTTCTCAGTTTACCCTTTGCAATAGTTGGGAGCCAAATTTTACCTAAGAAGCCACAGTGGTTTCTACTAAGTTGAGATGTTTACAAGCTTTTTACCTTTCTTCCAAGGTCCTGAATACAAGATTTAAATCCAATCTATGCAACTTTACTTGGAAGTAGGTAGTACTGATATTATTTCTCAAAAAAGGTGCACAAATTCACATGCTTAGATTCCTAATGTTTAGATGCCTCTTGGTTTTTTTAGCCTTTGATTTACTGGTTTCATTTTATTTTCTTGCATCTTATTGATTATTACTTAATCAAGGGGTTATATTTCTGCCTGGTTATGCACTCATTGCTGGATTATGCCCAGCATATGCTTGGTTATAGGCTGTTTTCCTCAACCTCTGAGATTAGAGCAGTAAATGACTAGCTCCCATGCTGTCCAAATTGTCTTCGCTCTCTGCTTAGCAACAATGATGTTTCTTTAATTGCACAAATGTATAATCCACTGAATAGGTTCTGACAGGGCAAGACCAACTCTGATCAGCCATTAAGATATCCAGTGGGCTTCTTTCCCAAAACAAGTAATTGTAAACAACTGATTAGTAATTTGTTTTTAGGTGTCACCTGAAGGTATTATAATGGCTTACTTCTATTCAGTAGAAACTCTCATGCTTCATTCAAGGCCAGGCTGTGTCATCCAAAAGTAGTCATAATTAAAAAGGAATTTCTAAGTTTAACAGTGAATAATAAAACAATAAAATGACTGAAATCTTTAATTTATTTCAGTGCTCAGTGGTTAAAATGCAGTATTGCAAGCAAAACTGCCCATAACCTCCTATTTTGTGAGAAATGATGGTAAATGGGAATTTCTCGCTGTACTTTTTTCTGAGGAACTGTTTCATTTGGGAGAACTGACTATCACATTTTATGAATTTAGGAAAAAGAACTTTTGGAATGCAATTTCCAAGTAGCAAATGGTATGAAATTTGAAAGATGTAACATTGAATATGGTCTTTAAAAAGGGATTTGATTACAAGTATTGAGAATGGTTTTCTCCATTGATACATATTTTGTATTTCTGGTTTCTTAATTCATACCTGAATAAATAACTCCTCTGTCTGAGTAATAAAAGAGGCTTGTTAATCAACATGGAGAACTTTTATATATCTTTTCGAACATGACAATAAAGGAAAACATAGCTAATAGAATCGAAAAAATAAAAATAAATTTTAAAGTAATAAAACATCAGAATTCAAATCTAGGAATCTATTGAAAGAACTCTAGTGTTTTGTTAACCCTTGTTCCCTGTTTCCCATTATGTTATTTTTAGAGCAGTGTATAGTTAAAGAGCAGGCTGTTTAGAATAATTTTAGGCACCTATGCTGCCCCCTGCCCCCCCCCATTTGAGTCTTTTCCCCAACATCAGCAAGGCAGAGTTGCCAATAAAACTGCAACCTTGAAAGAGATGTAGGAGGAGAATCCAGGAATCCAGCTAAGAAGAAAAGCAGCTGAATAAAAGGTGTTTGTATTTATTTATTTATTTATTTATTTCTAAAATTTATATGCCGCCCAATCCCAAGGGACTCAGGGCGGCGTACAAAATTAAAACAATAATATGACAATAAA